CGCCTCATTGGCGATATATCTCTTCTTTTCCAAACATCATATTGCTCACTTCCTTCAATTACCATTATTGGTATATCATCTCGATAATATTTGATTATGTTTTGTCTGTTTCTCGTATTATTTTCTAGAGTTTGCGTTTCATCCAGTGGATGAAATGTACCATTTTCATGATTTGAATGTAATTCCTAAATAAAAAAAGAATAAGATATTAAATACAAATTTGAATACAATATATTTGTAAATATTGATCGTGTCATCTATTTAAACAATAATTAAAAAGGACTCGCAATCTTGAAAATATAATCAAAACTAAATTAAATCAGGACTAATGAGAATCAGCGCAGTTGTTAGAGATAGGTTAGAAAATGTATCACAGCCACGCAACACTGACATACGTTGCAATTTTCATGTTTATGCTTTAGGTATTTATCTGCTTTTAAAACACGAATTCTCTGCTTTAAAAAATAAATTCTATAAAAACAAAAATTATATAAGAAAATAATTAGTTTTGATTTGAAAACAGAGAACTTGTGTAAAGCAGAAAATATTTGTTCTAACCTCACTTATATTTGTTCTAACCTCACTTATGTTCTCGCTGACAGATTCCTTAACCTGAATAATCGTTAACTTCAACGATTAATATCTCGATTCGCGAAGCAGAGTGACACTTTTTTTCTGCCAAAATTCTTTTGTTTCGTGCAAAAACGCGTCGACTAAGCCTAATTTTATTTATTTTTGAGTTACTTGAGAAGACTAGATTGTATAACTACCCAAATTTTTTTATGAAAAAGTGAAACAGTGTTATAATAAAGAGATACAACTATAATGATTGACATGCGCATTTCTATAATACATATTATATATATTAATTAAAATCATATAAAATGTATTCTTTTACCGCTGTCGTAGTGTTGTCAGCTTTGTAAGGAATATCATTAGGTTGAGTTAAACGTTCTTCCTCATCTTCGGTATCAGTATTGCTTAAACTCTGTGGAAGAGGAGTATAACCTTTGCCACTATGATCGATCGACATGTTAAATAAATATCACGTTCTTGTAATTATAATTATTTCTCTTCTTCTACAACTAAATCATAATTACTAACTAAGGATCAGCACTCAGCAGGTATGACGAGAATCTCCACGGACTTTTACTAGACTGCGCACTCTGAATGCATTCAATACGAACACCAGGCGTGCCATTGCACAATGGCAACTAAATAGAAGAACCAATAAGAAATTTGCCCCAAAGTTAGAGCAAAATTTAAATACAGTACGAATGATAGAATGGGTTAATTTAATTCTCGCAACAAATAATAAAATGAACAAGAGATTTACTGTTTGCTGATATCTGAACGCAGGTCTTTTGGATATTGGCGCTCTGATCTTCCATCTGGATCTCACATGTGATTTTAATCACGCACTACGGTCTTAACTTGAATGATTGAAAGAACTGATTTGAAACAATATGAATCGAATACTCAAACTGAATGATTTAATTTATAAATGACTGAATTTTGTAAGAATGAGTCTCGCAATGTTGCGATCAAACGCTACGAATTAATTCCAACACCTAATATATATATAGGAGTCTTTTCGAGAGTGATTCTCTGATAGAATATATCGAGTTAATAAGGATATCAACACTATTTATAAACATCTTTTATATTGTTGTATTTACTTTATTATTTTTTCTTATCTCTATTTTCTTTCTAATTTTTCTTAGCATATATTTCTATGCCTTTCAATCTAAAAATAATATTAGCTTTTTCTGTTCATTGTGAATACTGTTCAATTCAAAATTTTGAAATGCAGTTTTTCAATCCAATTGCATCCAATTGAATCTAATTGAATCCAATTGAATTCAATTAAATCCAAAAAAAGTATTCCCTATTTAAAATACGCATTCAAATAGAAAAAAATTTCAATCCATTTTAATCCATTCTCGTTTGCTGGGTAGGTATTTATGTCATCTGCAATGTACTTTTTTTGCTATTAATAATATATGAAAACTCAATTTTTAAAGAATGGCTTGAATCTGAACCTTCCAGAACTTGTAACACAAAAACTAGCTATAGAAAGAGATTGGTCCCATAAAGACAATTGTCCAGAATGATGAGAATTACAATATATTCAAAATTTAACCAATTTGACAGAAATTTCCATAAAATTGATACAGGATAATTTTCTTTCTTTACGGATCAAAAATAAGAAAAAAATGTTTGTTTTAATATACTTGATTCATATAAATTCTTTCAAATTCTTTAGAAACTTTTTTTGATTGTCATTTTTTTACCAAATTTTTATAATAAAAAAATGTTACCCACTGTATTTCGATCAACAATACTTTAATCATTTTATAGAAATTATATACCTTATCATTTCAGTTTGTATTTTAACGTTACATGCATAATTATGTCCAGTATTAGTTAATACAATCCGTTAATACATATGCACACATACATCTTAAATTACACCACTAAATAGTAGATGTAATATGTATCGTCGTTTATGAAAAGAGATTAAGATATTATTATGTGTTGAAGAAAATATCGAGGTTCATTATTCTTTGTTTTATTATGTATCGATGTTTCAGATAAAAATCCTTTTATTTGGAATGTCTGATAACATCATTAAAATTATAATTAATATAAAATATATACTAGTCATAATATTTATTTAATATATTAAGTAGCAAATAAATTATATTATAATAATAAGATATAATAATTTCATCATCAATATAAATTATTATGTTGATATTGAAATTATTATATTACTGAAATTATTATATTGAGACATAATTTATAAATAAACTATACGTAAGAATCGTAAGACAGAAAGATTACTTCATATGAAAAGGGTGCAAATCAGGGTAAAATTTATAGCCGAATAACCGTTTTTACATATTATCTGCAAGAAAGTCTGAAAAATGGAGAAACCATTCAGAATAGTCCCATTAAATTAAAAAAAAATGATTATATATGTATAATTAGGTAATGTATACATTTATGTAATTTATGTATATTCAAATTATGCTAATTAGCATATTGCGAATTATATTAGTTTATTCAAAAACTTTAATAGATTTATCTGTCAATATTCGCATTGGTTCTTATTGGGGATTTTTAATTTATCATTATTATTAAATATATTATCAATCGTACATTTATTATTATTATACATTTATTCATTTATGTTAAAATCTATTAAAATTAATGAATGATACTTTTCTATAAATACTGATATTAAATTTGTATTAGAAGATTGCATTTAGAGATGTCTAAGAGATCTATAAGAGATTCCAAACAATACAAAATCTAAAATTGTGACACAAGATGTCTTTAAGTTGTCTTTTAGACGCAAAAAAACGTCTTATAACGTGATTTCAGATACTTTTTGTTTGTCTGGGATGTCTCTTTAACATATTAAAATTTGAATTATATATATATATATATATATATATATATATATGTGTGTGTAGTTTTAATAAATTTTAACACTGATGATAACAATATATTTATTAAAGAGATTTATTTAAGTTTCATCTTTTATCAATTGACAAATTTTATCTCATAAGGCTATCTTTTGACTATTCATACTTAAAGGTATAGCTTGCAGTTCAGTTCTCATACAAAGGAATTCTCCACAGACACACATTATACTTAACGAGACGAGATTTAAACACCACCAGCTGAAAGATGTCGGATAAGTTCCATTATAAGCCCAACAACAAATCAAATGAATGCAATGGGCTGTACATGCAAAGTCCATGCATAATTTTGTTCTTTGCACTAGCCACCATAATGCAAATGCTCCCACAAAAGCATTCAGAACAAACATAACAATAATTAATTGTCCTCCGAAGTCACGAACATGTATTTCTTTATACTGAAACACATAATCCAACGATTTTGTCCAGTCCAACAACGATGCAACAATCCAAATCCAGAATCCAAGGCAAAGATACATGATAGATTGTACAGCAATTATCTGAGAAATTATGAGAAAGGGATCCCATGTTGTCTTGCGGAATTGTCCAGAAAGATTGTTCATTTTTTTTGTTCTAGAAATGATACTTATTATGTTTGAACCTTTTGTGTATGTTTAAGCCTTTTAAACAAATGTATGCAAACTTTCATCATTCTTAACTTCTTCTAAAATTCAGTATCTGTAAAAGTAAAGTAACTAAAATGTTTTTGAGAAGGAATATAGATAATATAAAATTCGAATATTAAAAGTTGGTAGATATTTTTTGAGGCTATTATATTTATCGTGTAATACTTACATTATAACTGAAAAGTTAAAATACATAAATAGAATTCAGTTTGAATAATTTGTTCAGATACATTTAATATATTGGTGAAAGAAAAAATAATTATTCAGTTTAGCATAACCAGCTCCGAGTTTAATGAAATTAGACTAATTGGATTCATTCGATGCATTTTTGCATGAAATGAACAAATCTGGCAGAAATAAAACGTCGTTCTGACTCGTAAACCATGATATTAATTGTTAAAAGTTGATGACAATGATGACTATCTTAGGTTAGGAAATCTGTCATAACCGCAAAATATTGCAATCAGTGTTGCCAACTCGCTGTGAGTTTTCAGGAGCACGTTTGAAATTCAAAAACACCGAAGAAAACTAGAGTTTACAAAAATACGCAGTAAAAAAATAGTTTTAAAAAATTGATGTGACTTTGATCAGATTTTGGCAACACCACCTAAGGTTGAACTGATACAATCAGTGAATAGATCTTTTAAATTCTACAACTTCTATCTAAAATATTTTTTTACAAAACTTATATTTTTTGAAATATTCATATTATTTTATATGTAGATATATCACTTAGGTTTCATATAATTAAAAATAATATTACTTGGGTTTTACTTTTTAAGTTGATACAACAGTTTTTTTTTTAATTAAATTGTCACGTGTCAGTTTTATTTTATACATTTATTACAACAAACATGACATTCTAAAATATATCTTATAAGTTAACAATTAATATAATACTACTCATATACACATATACATCTAATGATTCTCCTTATAAAAACGCAATCCACAATAACCGCAAGTATGATTGCCTGGTTTATCCTATAAAAGAATAAAATAAGTTTTAATCTTTTTTAGAAATAAAATTTTATTATAATCTATGATATGATATTTATTTTAATATTTAAATAATTATTACTAAATAACAAATAATGAAATACATATAATAAAAGATAATATGTACTCTACATATAATTAGTGAAAGTATGAAATAAGTGTTGTACACTTATATACATATGAGTGTATAAAATTATTGTACTTTATATTTTTACTGTAACACACACAATAATACAAATCTTACCAGATTTATATAAACTTTAGGATGTCCAAGAGGGCCTCCACCACCATCACAAGCTACAATTCTATCTTTCTTAGGAGACGGTGGTACTTCATCTATCAATTTAATTGCCCAATTTTTATTAACTTCTTTTGGCCTGTTTAAAAATCTTACTAATCGATAGTCATCTTTTTCAAATGCCTAATAAAGTATGACAATATATAATTAAAGAAACAAGTACATAGTATTCATTAAAGAAGTTATAAAGGACAATATTAGAAATGATTCTCTATACTTTTTGAAAATGAGCTCATGGCGATTGAAATTATTCGATTTATTATATTTATGTAGTATCAATAAATCTTGACCATACAATAAAATTTACAATTTAATCACAAATCGGATAATCAAACCTCGTAGGTTATGATAATATCTATTATCAATTTTTGATAGAAGTTAGTAAAAATATGATAAAATCTACTAATATATGATAAAATAATAATAGTACATATAATAGACTATAGAAATTGTGCAAAATCTACTATCATTTCGTAATCAATTAAATAGTTACAAAAAATTTGTTTTTCATTCCTGAACTAAACTGCACTAAAATTATCTTTCTCATTTTCACGAAATATCAAACATGTCCCTTTAAGTTCCAAAAGTATATACTAATTCAACCATAAAAAACTGATCTAAAATAATAGATTCTATTTGGTTTCTACCAACAATTTGCTGATTATGGCCCAGTTCCATACATGGTGTATCATCTTATCTTTTAATATTCAATGAATAAGAATAAGATGATACATCATGTGCATTATACACTTTATAAAATGCAACCTATATTGACAAGATCTATTGGCAAAATATGATGCAGATACAAATGATAGTAGATCTATTGTAAATCTGCTGACATTCTACTGTTATACTACAGATAATTTGTTCATTGGAAAAATCATCACTTATCTAATATATATATAATCAATAAGTATAATAAATATATCTTTATAAATCCAGATAAGTACGATGTATTACCAGTCTACATGAATTTTGTTACTTGAATAAGTAAAGTAATATCTTATAAAAAAAATTTTTATGTGATTGAACCAAGAACATCTCACCTGACCAGTATGAGTAACTTGAGTATCAACTTCATCAGTGGTTGCATATGTGCGTCTCGTTATAGCATCTACCATGAATACATTTCGTTTATATAACTGATTAAAAGGCATAAATAATCCATTGATCTTTTTTGTTGCCATATTTGATATCAATTATCAGTGATATTGTATACTATTTATCGAAAGAGGTTATAATCGTAACCTCATCGAAATCTTTTGCAAGACAGGGAGTCCAAAGTGAACAAAACTTCTCAACATTGATAGATGGCGTTATGATACTAATCTAGTTAAAATCACTAGAGTGTAAGGAAAGCTGGGGAAACTTTCCAACAAGGGCTGTGTTCCAAAATTCATTGCCGGCGCTGAAAATCTACAGTTTATCTTACGTATACTGTACATTTTTACTGGCAATCAATTTTGGAACACAGCTAAAAGAAACAGGATGTTTTCCAATAATGTACCAAGATAACACACTAGGGCTTCGATCATGGTATTCCACTTTCAAGGATGCACAATCGTGAACATGGCGGCTGCTCTTTGACCAATCAAAACGTTGCTCCAAATTGTTTCTTATATCATGGAAGATGGAAGTAACACGCTATATATCGGGGTTTCGTTTTGAAACGCTTTCGGAGACTCGTCGTTCTCTGTTTGACTCGTAAATGTGAGTCGAAATTCCTCAGATACGGAAGAACGAAGATTTTCTCGCAGATCGAGCTTCCCCTCTCCGGAACGAGGGGAGGCAAACAATTTCTGAACGTGCGAGGTTTTAGGTTATAAAGGCTAGCATTCGCCAATGTAAACAGCGACGAGGGGGGGGGAGGGCGATTACGCTGGTATCCTCGAATCTATCTGGAAAGCGAGCCTTATGTATTGGAATAGAACAGTAACTGGTGCTGCACGGGAAGAAATGCCTTTGAGCTCGATTAGCCGTGCTACAAATGCTTCCACCGCAACGGTGGAGGGCGTAAATCCCGGCACGAGCACGCAGATTACATCGACCTGCTGCACTCCGCCACCATCCTATCATAATATCAATTTACCCCTCGGTCATCCCTCCACGTTAACCAACGAACGTGGTGCGCCACCCTCGTATGAGGAGGCGATAGATCCTAATGGTACGTTATCGTAGATTTATAATATATGCACCTTCATGTTGTATGGCTATGTTCGGAAATGTCACCTGAGTGACATTTCTTTGCCTATCAATTTAATATACCTTGTTGTTCATACAATTGATAAACAAAGATAAAATTACATTATGAAATACCCAGGTGATATTTTCAAATACAGTCCATATATTTAAAATAAATTAAATATGTCTATCTCTCTGTATTTTTTTCCAGCACCACCACCATCTTACGATTCTTTATTTGGTCGTATGAGAGAAGCCCGTAAAATATCCAAAGGCATATTTGATTTTTTAAAAAATATTGTTGTTCTGCTCTTAGGCACAAGTAAGTTGATATGCTTATTAAGTATCGACGATAGATGAAAAGATGAAAATAAAATAGGAAAACCTTAATAACTATACACAAAATGTAAAGTCGTTATTTTCCAGTCGGATGTACCATCATTCTTGGAGTAACGATAGTGGTACCAATTTGTATGATGGTGATCGGTGGACTGTATCTTTACGATTGTCCACAGGGTGAATACATTCCCGTATACTTATTAGTAGGCGGTGGATTTGGAGTATTTAAGCAATTATTAACTTTGTCGGCTAGAGTACGGCAACGTCAAGAAGAAAGAGATGAGGAAAGGATTAGACAATCGCCTACACAGACTTTGATCAATTGTTTTATGCTGGGATGGTTCATTATTGGTAATCATATTGCTATTGCTGATTTTTAAGCCTTGACAGTATTAAATTTGTAATTACATTCCAATATATGTATATTTTCTCTCTCTCTCTCTCTCTCTCTCTCTCTCTATATATATATATATATATATATATTCCACCCAATATATATATATATATATATATATATATATATACTATTCCTAATACATAAATTGTTTCCACTTCAATTTATCTCAAAATTACACTTAAAAATTTTGTTAGTAAAAATATCTAGAAAATCTAGGAATTTTCAGAAAATTGTTTCAGTAAAAATTTCAGTGAAATTATTTATTGTTATGTAATTTTTTTTTTTTTTTTTGTTAATTATACTGGGTATTTTCGAGAGCAATCTTATAAATTTATTAATTACAGGTTCTATGTGGGTATACAAAGAATATGAACCAAATTATGATCCAGCATTAGGGAAGTATTGTAATAAGACACTATATTTATTTGCCTTCTGGCTAATTACGTCGGTCTACATATGCATGGGTATCATAACGGCCGGCCTGTGCAGCATTTCCGTAGCTAGTATTGCGTTTCAGAGACCGCCGTCGGATTTGATGTGAGATAACGCTGTTTAGTCGCTTTGTGTCTCCGAAATGACGCTCATCTATGATCTACATTTGACATAATCAGAATGATATTTATCGAATGAAAGAATTCCTATTGTGTACACGCTATGGATGATAAGTATGCGTAATTTTGCATTGTATGCACTTGATTTTTCTGTATCGAGATACCATCGACATCATCCCGCGTTCCTCCTCGCTAATCGTTAAAATACAAACGGCTCATTCTTATATTTATATTAACGATGATCGGAAGTTGAAATATCGAATTTGTATATAGATATGTGCCGTATAAGCGAAAAAAATCTCATTTTAGGAGCAAAGAGAGAGTCACTCATCAAGAGCTGGCACCATTGCTCGCTGAAACGAGTCGCTTCGCGCGACAAAGTGCAAATTTCGTCCACGTTTACGTACCTGAGATGCTTAAACGACTTCGAAGAAAATCGTTGGCACATTAAACGCACACTCTAGGCGCACCGGCGCGCGATCCAAGTTCAAGCAAGATCCAAGTTCAAGTAAGATCATATAAATGACTTCTCACGATGCACAAACGAGTGCAATAGCTTATTGAATAATTCGACTGTTGTGATGATATCCCTGATGCCGTAAGAAATGCGGTGAAACATACATCGAAGTCGGTTATCTATCTTGAAGCCTCTCGATAAAGCCGGGATTAGAGGCGAAAGGAAAACAGAGTCGCTTCGACCAGATCAAGGGCTGTGTGTACGTCGCGTTACTCGCGAATTTTTTTATCTTGTGCCAAGTGGACGCGAAGTCGCAACCAAAGTATTTTGCTATCACAATGTTGCTAGCGCCAATGCGCCACAGATTTTACAAATTCGTTTGTAAACTCGCTCAGAACTCGTACCAAGAACGAGCTGAATGCGAATGCGCGACTCGCGCTATGCTAGTACAGTTGACGACGCTTTGATACGACGGTCTAATATAATTTTACGATATAAATGTTAGGCATTGCATCGTTTTCTCGATAACACTTTACCTTAAGCACTTTATGACCGGACTTGACTAATATAACACTCTACTCACTCATGACTTGTAACTTACCTATTTAAAAGACTGCGATCTCTTACGTGACATCTTTATGTATTTATTCGCCCTGTCCTCCGTCCTTTTACGTCTCGGTAGATCTTTATAGAATCTTCATGTTTCTTGACGTAATTCGTTTTTTTTATGAGGGTTGTCACAGATTTGGAAAACCGGAAAAAGTCAGGGAAAAATATAAAAGAATCCGGAATTTTTCAACCTTTGTTCTATTAAAATACTTTCATTCCAAACAATTGTTATAATTTTTTAAATAACTATCTAATAATTGTGGATACAATAATCCAATACTGAGTTTCTTAATCAGTATTTTAAACTGTATACTACATCATGTGTCGGTCATTATATTAAAGGAAATATAATTCCTTTTTAAATATAAAAATTAGACATTTCTTACAAATTTAATTTTTGTTTTAATTTCCGTATAGTTTAATATAAATTTACTTTAATTAAACTTTTTTATATTTAAGATACATTTTACAAATGTATTTGATCTGAAAAACCTGGAAAAGTCAGGAAATTTTAAAATTCATTTTCTGTGACAACCCCAAATAAGTCGCGCGAAGCAATCAACTAGAAAAGTACAGATGTATATGCGTTTTTCTTTGCGTATTGTCTTAAAAACTAAAATTGATAGTATTTGCCAGTATTGTGGGGACTTACTACTCTCTAAAAATCAGCATGCTCTGCCAAATCGTGCAATATGACGTCATTAAATTTGTGATTCGATTATATTATCAAGTATATTATCGAATATCGTTGTATATAACTCAATACTACTGTTTCTCCCACTTTCGTATAACTTTATCAACTTTTCCTGACTGAAGTTTAGTCTTCCTTTTTCAACTTTTACGTTTTGTAAATGTAATTATTCTCAGCATAAAACTAGTTATAAGTTAGACATACAAAAGTAGTTCGAAAAGTTTTCGAACTACTGCCTGACACAGAAATAACGCCACAAATATCAAATTGGTATAATTTTAGAGTTTGATCCTGCACAGAGTTGCTGTTAAAATTTCAGATAGATGTGTTCATTAGTTTCTTTGTTTCGTGTAAAGTAATTAACTTTTGATTCCATCAAGACAATGCACTTGCTCACATGTCTTTAATTGCAGCCGCAAAATTCCATGAATTTGTTCCACATGTACATGTATCATATTTGACCAAATCTGATCTTGTAGAACCAATTCATGAAATTTTTCGACTGCAATTGTACAAATGTGAGCGGGTATATCGTTATGATGGAACCAAAAATTGGTTGCTTTATACGATCGAAACAAAGAAACTAATGAACTGACATTTTAACAATCGTCCTATGCAGGATCAAACTTTTCTAAAAATTATAGTAGTTTGATTTGCGGCGTCGTTTTATGTCAGGTCGAAAACTTTACCCTATACAGAGAATAATCGTGCCCGTGTAGCTGTGATGCGCTCATGAACGTGCTTGTATTTCGATTATATACAATAACCGAGCTTGCGCTTTCAATTTCGTGTTTAATATATTAAAAAAAATATGTATATAATGCCAATTAATTGCAAATATATATGCACACGCACACGCACATATATGTACCACTAATACAATCTATTGAATAGATATAAAGATAATAAATGATTAAAATAACGAATTTTACTGTTGACTTTATCGTTATTTTAATCACTTATTATCTTTATATCTATTCGATAAATTGCATTATTTAATAAAGTAAATTTAGAATGCGCTCTTTATAATAAGATTAATGTTTAAAAACAATGTTTAATAAAAATTTTTAATAAAATTTGTAAATTACAATTTAAATTCCTAAAGATAAGCATTTATTAAAAAACAAAAATATTAACATAAGGAATTATAGAAGATTTATTAAATAAGTTTAATATAAAGAAAACTAATACAGACTTAGAGTTTCAAGTTAGCTTAGAGTTTCAAGTTGTATTTATGTAATATTGATTGTTACAATCAATATTAAATAAAAATTATTAAATAATATAATTTTTATATTTAATATCTTATCTTAGCGTTACAAAAAAGTAATGAATCGTTTCTTTTTAAATAATGATAAAACTATAATGCGTTATTTTTTAAAATTAGTAATAAAAAACATACTCGTTTAATTTTGTTTTACATTATCTATGTGGAAGAAAATTAGCATATTGTATATAACAATACAAGGAGAGTATGTAATACTCTCACAAATTGATTAATCGACGGCTTGGAACCGGCAGTTCATATATCATAATTAAAGACTGTCGTCCCGAGACAATGCCTTTTCTTGATAATGTTCTTCGCGATAATCTTCTTCCGGATAATCGGAGGATCCTTCGATTTTTGACCAAACATCACCTTCGTCTTTGATTGAAGATTCCGTTGATACCTACACGAATACGATATCTTGTCAGGACGAAACATTTCGGGATATATTACGTTAGGTTTTATAATCCCATCGGATACCGGTGATATATCATATCAGGGTAACGAGAAATGACACAAACATGATTTGAAAAGAAAGACTATCCTCTGCCCGGATATCGTAATTCTATTAATGATTACGAAAGTCCATAGTCTGGCGACGCGCTGGAAATAACTACCGGATATTCGCTAGTCTCGTTAATATAAAGTGATCGATTAAAATTCATTTTACCGGAAGAATCATTTCCGCTTCCGATGACGCAGACAGTGTATTAAGGAAATCCTATTCCCTTTAGGGAAAGGATTGAATATAAATCGCGAACTCGCAATTCCGCTTTCCAATATTAATCCATTTTCGTAGTTACCTATCTCCGGAATGAAATAAATATAACTATGCGTTGATGCTATAAAATGCTATAAAATCCACCTGTATTAACCGATTTATCAATTTCCTATTGGTTATTCAAGAAATCGACATCAGTGTCACCCACGTATCGGTATACGTATTAAAACAGATTGCATGAAGGATAATTACGATGTAATATTTGAATTATCAAATATACGTAATTATGATTTTAATTACTTCCTCTCGCAGGGATACTGTTTCCGGCGGCAATAACTCCGGGTTATAAGGAGTAATACAACGCGCGCGCCATATTGGTAGAAAGCCCATTTTCAGGGATGATTCTTTCAATGTTGACGTCGTCAATGTTTTGTCGTCATTATCGGTTTCCTATATTATATAATTTCTTATAATATATATATATGTACATGTTATTTATATACATAATGTAATATAATCTATAATATAATATACATATAATGTATATTATTTAAAACATATTAATATTATATATGTTTTATTAATTTTTGTTTTTTATTAAATATATACATTTGTAATATATTTATATATATTATATATTTTATATGTATTAAGATATTTTAAATATGAAATATTTAAACTCATCAAAATCGAACGGATCAAAAACGACATAAAAATTCATTGAAAGAATTTTACTTCCATGATTTTATCCGTGTTTATCAAAGTTGAGTCATCAAACATGGGATCTCTCACATATATATAATGACCATGCTGCATACACACGTTTTCAAAAGTGAAGCAACCACGTCCATATGGCTGTATCGTGCATAATATCTCTATTAATTAAATATATATTTCTTCGGTCTTGATTAATGCTGCTCAAGATTTATAATTCTAGACATTGGCTCTAGACATGTATATTTTTACTTATTGCCTTTTTTTTCTTGATAAAGATAAGCGCCGACATACGTCAAGTTTATGCTTAGAATTACAAATCTTGGACAGCATAGATCTAAGCTTTTATAAATGAGATGAGATGCTCTTATTCTACTTGGGACTCGTAATCTGAAGGTATGTGTATAATCAACGCGCCGCGATTACTTTTCTGTTTTCATTCCGTACCAAATTCAGCTTCCAAAAACCATGAAAATGACAGCACGGATGAATGAGTTGTCCGGGTCCTTGCATGCGATCTTCCATCCATGTCCCCATAAATTTCGTTTCTGTATCAGCGTATAAATATGTTCCTATACCATGACGAAGATCATCCTTCCACGAGCCCTCGTAAATGTCATTGTTCATATAATAATAAATGCCGAAACCGTGCTTCGCGTCGCGTCTCCATTCCCCTAAGCAGATTAATATTTAACACATCATCGAATTTTATCTGTAACAAATAATTATTGCCAATCAAAGTCAAGTGTCATCGAAGTTGATCTTAGTGAAGATGTCGAGTTGTCGCGACTTGTCGCTCGTATTTACCTCTTTCGAAAATTCCTGGCACACTCTTAGCATCTCTACGATTTCTGACGTGCGACATAAAAATAATTGTATGAATATACATATGGACGTGTTGACATGTCCACGTGTTTACTGTGTGACTTCCTCGAGTCTGATTCGGATCCTATTTTTGTACATTCTTCCATACCTTCGTATCGCGTTCCATCAGGGTACCAAAAGATTCCTTGCCCGTATTTCTGTCCGTCTCTCCAATCGCCGTTATATCGGGCACCGTTTTTAAATACGTAGATTCCTTTGCCATGCCTAAATCCATTACGATATTGACCAACATACATGTCATCATTTGGTAGCAAAGTCTTTCCGTTTCCATGCCTCTCACCATTCTCATTTCTTTCGCCTTCGTAGATCTGCGATCATTCACCAAGAGATGTCTCGTATAAATGCAACGACGTTTTAACACAGCGAATAAATTAGTGTACAGTTATTACAAAACGCTTAACATAATTTTCTGTTAGTTATATAATTCTTAAAAAAAAAAAAGAGAGGACCAATATAACGATTTTATTTAATTGCTCGTGTACCCCCAATGGATCAATCTCTGGCTTTTCATGTTCATTCGAAGTCAGGCTTGTTAATTCGGGCGATTCGGTTAATTCTTCCATTCTTCATCATATTTTGTCGATCGTTTCCTGTAGCCTAATTCATTAATCTAAATTTCGATTGTTTAGACACCAATCGATTTTTACGTTTCGCTGGGCACTGATTGTATTTTATCGATTGATATATAATGCATGCGTAAATAAAAAATTTGACATTTTAGGATATGGGACTCTGTAATCTTAAAAAAAATAAGTATGACAACGATTCATATCAGAAGAATAATATTAAGAAATAAAAGTCGAGATATATAACAAATTTATAATTATAATTTTATTGGCGTATGCTTTTGCAAAATAGTCGATGATGAAACTAATAATGTTGTAATTCACAATGTTCCTTTGTCCCAAACAAAAATCCAGGTGTGTGTGTGTGTGTGTGTGTGTGTGTGTGTGTGTGTGTGTGTGTGTGTGTGTGATGGTTGATTATTTGTAACTTTGTTGGTGAATAATTAGAATATAATAAATAAAATTTCATCTCGTCATCGACCGGTAAGTAGACCGATTAACGTTTGCTTCTCCTTCTCCTTCTGTGTTTCCATGATCTCTTCCGAAGGTTTATCGGACGCGATCCTACATATCGGCCTGAAACAAACATAACTATCAGAAATACAAATAGATTGGTTCGTTGCATATTAAGGACCAATGATGTGTTACTTTTAATTGTAATTTTACAATTAAAATAAAAGTGCTCGTCATGATTGTGTATTAATTTTTCTTAGCGATTATTTCACATACGATATTGTTACATTAAAGACCCTTCTAGCGGTCAAGAAAGGCAATTTGAACAAAAAAAAATATATATACGTTGAGCTTAATTTTTTCCTCTGCATATTCACCAAGTTTCTTTAAGATCAATCTTATTTACATTCATCTTATTTACATCATTTTATTTACACAAGAAGATAACCTGAAGAAAACTAGTCTAGGATAGTAATCGTTAGTAAAGATCGATAGTAAAGATCTTTAATAAGATATAAGATTCATTTATTGCGAGAACGATGTCGTCCATATTTTTGTAATAAAACTAAAGTAAAGGGAAGTCTTTGTTTTGAAATTAGAGATATAAAAAACAGATATTTTCGACTTCGGAGTATCAAGTAAAAAACGAGTTTTTACGGTAAAAAAAAAACGTATTTTTAATCAAATGACATAAAATTCATGAAAAACATATAGAATTCATGTTAAATTATATAGAAAAAAATATATTATAGAATTTATTTTTCTTGATATTTATTGTTAAAATATTTGATACCTATTTATTTTTTATTTCGACATTATTTAATTTTTTTACTTTTATAATTTCATATCAAGGTGGAAATGCGTTGCTGCAATGTCTATAATGAGTTGATGTCTTTTTGAAATTAATGCCTGAGAAAGAACTGATTTTCATATTACAAGCTGTGATATCGAAATTAAAATATTACAAGATGCTTGTGTGACTAAAAATGAAAATGTTTGGATATATAAAAGTAGGATTCATTCAAGTCAAAACGATCACAATCGAGAGGAGAATTTGGATCAGTTGTGTATGTTTGATCAACGTATTGCGAGGTTGCACTGCGGATCAACGATTAATCTCGAACCCTGCGAGTACCTCAAGCAATTACGAATCATATATCCGTTCTATATTCATCATATCCTGAACTCCATCTCGTATATTACATATGCACGCGCACGCGATCGGACGAGCCTTTAATCTGGCGTTGCGTTTACTTATTCGTTTGTTCAAACTACTTGTTGCGTCCGCTTAGTTCCGCGAGATATACTCCTAGCTAGATATTCTCTTTCTCTTCTCTTTCTATTACCGAAAAGGTAAATTTAAGTGTAGCAAGACTCTTTTTCGTTTTCCTTCTCACTCGTTAGCAAAATATAATATAAACCTTGAACAAAATCGAGAAAGAAGTTGAGATCTTTTAATTGACAAAGAAAAAATTTTGCCCGTTTTTATGTAGGTGCTGAATTGCTTGCGAATAGCAACGAAATTTAATTAAAATGAAAGATTATTGTTAGATCAAAATGTTCCATAGTCACAAGTCACAATCCTTTAAGTCGACTGTTCAAAAATATACTCTTTGGAATATTAAACAAATTGACATACTTTGACATAAAGTTTAAATTATTGTATCTAAACTATTATTTTTTTTATAATTGTATCCTAACATTTTTATGCACAAAATAATAAAATGAATCAATTAATTTAAAGAAAATACATAACTTTTAAAACAAATTATCGAATTTGCAATATACAATTACACATCATTTTGGAAAAGCAATTATGTGATTTTTTTGCACCAATTGATCTTACTATTTTATGTATATCTTACAACTCTGTGTAACAAAAAAGTTAAGTAATAAAAAAATTAATTTACGAAATATTTTTTACATGTTAAAACGTTCCAGAATAAAATATATAAACTATTGATTTTTACACAATTTTTATGCTATTATATGCAGAAAAATTAAAGGAACACTATGTAAAAAAACTATGTAAAAAAAATCATCTCATTTAAAAAAACAGCGATGTGATCTTAACAAGATCGATTTAATGATTCTAATAAACTTCTTTCTCAAATTTAAATATTAGATATTTAATAGCTAACCTATTATTCTTTTATCAATATGAGATCTATTAATATGCACAAGAAGTCCAAAATGGGCAAGGTCCTTTATACTAATTTTTACCTGCAACGTTTGCCAATGTTCTGGAATGTTAACAAATAAGAGACCTCAATCGCTTTCATGATTACATGACGAGGGAATATATTTTATGTTACGTGACAAATCTTTCTGCGGAATCCCACGTATCGGCTCGCGCGTCCGCGACTACAGAAATTCCAATAAATTTCCATGCGTACCTACACTTTGTGTATACTTGTAATTCATTGATCTTTCGCGCGCTTATATTTCATTGTGCATTACGGACGTCGAAGACTGAACGTATAAGTTGACAAACAAATATAAGTAACGACATTTTACAACATTCCTTGGATGCTCGTTTGATTGCCTTTCATCGAGTCCGAAATACTTTAATAATCGGCGTTATCTAAAGGAATGGCAATAGACGACGTCCACTAAACATTTATACTTCACATTACTACCACAAATTCAGCCGATTATCTTTAAGGAGCAAATATGTGCTAAGATGTACTTACAAATAGATATACTCACAACTGCTTTCACAGTCGCACGCAAGCAGAGAAAATTCCTAAATTTTTAATAAATTTGTTATTGTAAATTAATTTTCTATGTCAAATACACGAGAGAGAATTTTTTCTTAGAATTTACCTCGAAAATATGTTATTTCTGGGACAATATTGTATTTCAAAGAATTTAATGTAAATTTTTCGCATTCATTAATAAAACTAAAATAAAATATAAAGTTTGATTAATTTTACTGAAATGCGTGGTAAAAATCTTTAAAATACATTGTACCACAATTACCATATTTTCAGGGTAAATTTTAAAAGATAATTCTCTCCGTATATAAATAGTAACACCTAAACAAAAGACTGTAGTACATCCATTACTTTCTTTAAATAAATTAATAAATTTTGCCTTCAATTTAACCATACAAGACTCTCTCTCTGTGAAGAAATATTGGAATTATAAATTGCATCTGATAATTCCAAGTTGCTCCTTTACATTTCTTGAAACAATACTTAAGAATACTGACGACATTTTACGTACATCCATAAAGTAATACAATACTATATATTAAATACCTTCTGACTTGTAACTGTTTTCAAAATAATTTTCGCTTAAATTGTTAGAGAAGTCCATTCAAAATAAAAAATAAAAAAAAATGATAAACAACAATGATAATAGCAATGACGACAATGCTGAAAAATAGAGTAAGTAAATAAAGAAAAAAAATAAAAGAAACTGCGAATAACTGGATCATGCCTGTTCCGAGATTTTTGATTGGCTGTCGCTAAAGAGAGTGGGGTATTACGAGAATTTGTAGTAGAAGGTAGGGGTTGCTGAATGAGTAGCATGAACGCTCAGCCTCCTGACGCACTTGGTCGCATTCACCCCAACGGATAACCGGCAAACCGTACAGCCGTGCGGTTTTGCATCTGAGCCGCGAAACCACCCCGTCTTTACTCCGAGAGTATATGCCGAGAAAGCGTAAATCGAACGAACGAACGAACGATAGTGTCCAAAGGTATGTGTTCTCTTCTAAAAATCAGATTTTTTTTAAATTAACTAATAAGATAAAATACACGGATCGAAAAACTTTCTTATAAAATGTGATATCAACTCGACATATCTTTTCGCGGATTCTCTGTGCTGGTTTTACGACGATTATATAATTTTGATATCAATGCGGAATTTTGACAGTAGTTTCATATAGAAACGTCTATATAAAGCATCGAGATGGAATCACATCATTGCGGTCATGTATTTTCATTATTTTCGCAAAACCATCAGTTACTTGTCCAAATGTCTCGCAGTACCTCTTGATTTTTTTTTTATTCCGCCTGAGCATAACGTGAAGAAATAATGTTTTTCTCTTTCACAAACTTGTTTAACTTGTTACGCTGCACGTATGGTGTGCGTGAATATGTATGTGATACACATAAATATGTGAGTGCTAAAATTAGAAGGAACGTTATATAAATAGTATCACCGTTGTAGAAATTTCATGGGAGAAGAACGTAAACAGCATACTCGCCTGTCGACAAAATCACTATTGTGATGATGATTAATGTTCGCCAAGTGACAAATGGACCAGCGAGCTTTCGCTCGTTCGTAATGCATCAAAAGCACGCGGGGCACACGATAGTATAGAAGACTTTTTGCATTTCAACACTCCTTAATATTATTTCTACCTGTAAATACTCATTTCGAAACGAATTCCTATGAATGATGTTACAATACACCGCTAAAACTATGCCAATGTTACGGAAAAGGGGGACGACATTCCTCGATGATATGTTTGTCATTCGTACTTCAGAATGTTGAGAATAGAAACAAAATACTTAGAGATACAGCACAACAATGAATTATCTATTTCTAAAACGAGCAAAACAATTTTTAACAATTATAATTCGTTCAGATCGACAAGAATAAATCAATTAAGAGAAATAATTTTATTTTCGGTCGAAGCGAATCTTAGTACTTAAGTACTTCATATATAAATACACAGAATTTATATGCATTCAATTTTGCAAACCGTATGCTAATATTTCTTTCAGTCCTGAACGCAATCATGAATAGAATTAAAATAATAATATCACATAGGATAGAGCGAAGCTTTTTCGTCTATTTTTCGCGATAATGTCTATATTTCTGAATAGCACATGTTGATTATTTAAAGGTTGCACTTGTGCTCTTAAAAAATAATCATTATATAATATAATTATAAGCACGTCACTGCAAAGAGATATTTGCTATCGTAAATTTTTGAAGTTAAAAAACTAACGAAATAGCTTTGCCCTATTAAATTGACAAACAAATTAATAATTTTTAGTACGCATAAGCATCTTAAAAACTGTAAATAATTTATTCCAAAAACAATTTTTACTATGCCTAACTAAGAAAAATTATTCGATCAAAATTGAATTTTATAATTGGTGCCTAATATATATTTCTGTCTGAATTTATATTCATTTTTTTACTTGTGTGAACAAAAATCTCTAGTATGAGTAAATACATAAGTAGATGCAAATAAATTTATTTTAACAAGATTCACTAAACACCATCATTTCACTTTCAAATTGTACCGCTCATAAGCATAAATTTATTTATCGAATTCTTACGCTATCAATTTTATAAAATCAATTGTAATCATACGATCTAAATATATTTATTTTATAAATATGTGATATTTTATAAATAATTACTTACTAAAGTCTATGTTTTATTTAGATTAAAGTATATTTCAATTTCTTTCTTTTTTTAGAGTTGTTTGCGAATACGAAATTAAAATGGAAACAGTTTCTAAACTGCTCCGAGTATTGATACTCAACATATTGTGGGCAATGACCAGTTATGCGGCGCCGCTATTAGACACAAAGAACATTTGGAATCAAAATGTTGTCGCACCTGTAATCAAGACAGCATGCTCTTCTGACGGACAATGCTGGGAATGGTTACCGATATTGGAAACATACGATGGCAATGTCATATCAAAAGAAGATAGCGATACCTCAAGGTATACATATGCGCAATATACATACTTTTCTCTTGATAGGTCTGTTTTTTATTCTTGCATTCTCTAGTTTAGTGTATGGTGGTTTTTACGAACGGTTAGCTTTGCAAAAATCATGAGTTCAGAATGCATTTCTCGACAAGCTCTCGATTGGTATAGTCGATTTTTCAAAAAAGTCAATGAGGACAGGGATAATTTAACAATTATAATTCGTATTAGATCGATGAGAATAAATCAATTAAGAAAAAAAATTTTATTTTCGGTCAAAACGGATCTTAGTGCTTAAGTATTTCACACGCACAAATACACAATGCATTTATGAATTTATATACATATCCAATTCTACAAACCATATCCAAACGGTTTGCAGAATTTGATTCATGATTTTTCTATGATGATTCCGTAAAAAAAATTTCAATTTAATATATACATATATGAAACTAAAGTGATATCATACTTATTATCGTACAAATATTAAACAAAGATAACATATCTCAGAGAGCTATACGTAAATATATTATACAGGATGGGACAGTAACTCTGTTCACTTAAAATATCTCCGCTATTTTTAGAGATATAAAATAATATATTAGGTATTGGAATTAATTCGTAGCGTTTTTTAATGAAAGAATGTTATTTATTTCACATGAGCATTAAAAAATACATTAATGAAAGTACTTTCCATCACTTGTAAAACGCTACGAATTAATTCCAACACCTAATATTTACTGAAGTATAACAAGAGAGATACAATATGCTACTAATAATTTTTCTATGAGTGAAGACGTTATTTGTAATTAATCTTTGAATATTTTCTTGTGTCTAATAGATTGCAATCTCGACGCCACGTAGCAAGTCCGGTATCCGAATTTATGTTAAGATCATGGAAGGATAATATGTTAGAAGAGCCGGGACGGGAGATTCGAGCATCTTTGTCAACAAACAAACAGATGCCTATTAAGATCACGAAGAAAGATGTATTCGTATCTCGTAATTGGGGTGCCGGTGGCATGCCTTTCTCTGTTTTGTACATGAATTCGCGATCGAATCATGCTGTTGCAACATCATGTAAGTGTTAATGCAATATTAACGTAGAAAAAAGAAACAGAGCTTTATAACATATTTATAAGTAATATATAATAATGTATTAATTTAGCGACTCAACGACAAGAACCGGGTGCAACAACCGAGAGTTTGACGCCTTTCGTAGAACATCCGAACTCGCGCGTTGGTTCACGAAATGGTCAATCTACCACACAACCAAGAAAACAATATTGGACCATACCACAGCTGTTTATATCATATGGCTGGGGTTCTTTTGGAAAATAAAAACAAATAACAATGATGTACAATATTGAGGATGATAAACATATCAACATGAAGAAAAATAAAAGAAAAAGAAATTAATTTTCGTGATAGAAATAGCTAATGGATGCAGAACAAAGTTGTCAAATTCTATTGTAATGCAACTGTAATGCATTCTGATACTTAAAATTGTAGTTTACATTTATTTCTTCATGCAATATTTTCTTTAACATATAATGACATATTGAATTTTCTATTTAAAATATATTACGTTAAATAAACAATAATACTCCTAAACTACTAAAACTGTAGAAAATATCGATGTTATGATCGAAATATTTCCTGTTCTACATTTATTAGAAAAAAATAAATATTTGACTCACCATTCATTTCCTTCATTGCCTTGATAAAATCTTGTGGATCTTTAAAGGACACAAATCCGAAACCTTTGGTTTTATTTGTTCGTTTATCTCTAACCACCTTTGCCTTTTGAAAACTGGGATACTTTCCAAATACCCTCACCAGCATTTCATCAGTAACGTCATTCCCCAGATCTCCACAAAATATCCTAAAATCATCTAGACAATATACAGAATACTGTTATATAATTTTTTTACAAGAGAAACCTAATTATATCATTTAGACAAATATATTCATTACCTTCGTCCCATTCTAATAAAGAGGGATCTTCCCAGGTTTGGCCACCAGCAGTCCTTATAATTTTTTTGTTTTTCTTCCCTTTACCCTTGGGATGACTCTCTTCTGCGCTAGCATTAGCCATAATGGAACTTGCTTTTCCTTGACTAATAGCTAACTCAGCTGCTGTACTGACACCTTTAACCTTTGGTTTCTTTTTACCCTCATCTTCAGGAATCTTTGTATTAATAATTTGTTCAATAATTTCTGGATGGATCATTGGTGTTGACGCAGAATCATATGTTTTTGGTGTTGCGCTTAAACACGGATCCACCATATTTGACATATATGGATTACTTATTTGTGCAGGTGAGGAGTATGTTGTAATAGGAACTGAACCTGTAAAAATTATCACCAACTTATGAAGCAAAGTATTCTCTTGTATTATTTTTAGATGACTTAAAAAATATTAATCTTACCTTGTCTTGTTACTTGCTGTGGAATTAACATTGGGGGTGGTGGAGGAGGAGGTGGAGGTGGTGGTGGTGGTGGAAACCCAATCATTGGAGGAAACGCTAATGTTGCTGCTGCAGCTGCTGCAACTACTGGCGTAGTAAGTTCATGTTGTTCCAATTGCCTGGCAACTTGATTGTATGTGTTTGCACCGATCACTGGTCTTACAATTGGCGTTACAAGTTGTCCTCCAATCTCAGCTTCGAATCTGAAATTTATATTTAATAAAATAAAACTGAAATAAATAACACAATGAAACTTTTAATTGCATATTATTCCTCATTTTCTCCAAATATATCATTGTATAATTTATTGTATTACTATATCATAGTTACATGCAAAATATATTTAGAGTGTGCAGGAAAAACAAACAAGATTAGGATGAGAACCGCGTTTGAATATATATTTTGCATATTATAAATGTATCCCTATATGTAATTCCGATATAGCATTATAACAAATTAAATGCCTGACAAAATCCAAAACATAAAGTAATTTATCATACCTGTTCATCTCATCTTCCATTTGCCGAAGTTTATCATCCATATCTGCAAGCTAGTTGTTGACGAAACAGAAATATTTTTATATATATACGTGCGCGTATATCTCTATCTGAGGCCAGATTTTGCGATAAATACAATAAATTAATTTCTTTTCGTAAGAAAAAGAATATTAAATAATAACTTCAATGCTATTTCAAAATTCGAATTGTTTCTTCTTATTCTTCTACGATTTCTCTGCTTAAATTTCTGATCCAATATAAAGGGAGCAGTTCGAATCACTTAACTCAAACGAGCCATGGCGTCTTATATTTTAAGCTCGTAGCACACAATGCATGTTTTCCTGTGACCTTAAGCTCATAGAATATATCAATGGCTGCGTTCAGCGAACTCAGGATGCGTTTCAATATTCACTGCCAGTGCTGAAACTATACAGTATACGTTACATGCGCTATATATATATATATATATATATATATATATTGATTTTCAGCACTGGCAGTGAATATTAGAACACATTCTCAACAGTTAAGTAAGCGCTCGCTGCTATTGATGTATTCTTTTAGATCATCCAATCAGCATTTTAGATCTAAAAGAATACATCAAGCGTTCACTCAACTCTTGAGTCCGCTGAACGCAGCCAATGAGTGATCGTGCTTCTGGATGCACGTTGTAAACTAGGCCTTCATATATTCTCATACCGTGGTTATGGTTTGAGAGAACAACATGTCCGCTGTATTTCACATACTAGTTTCGTTTGATAGAAGTAGGGACCGTACGGATGAGATACGTTTATGCAACGACTGTATGTTTGTATTTTAATTTACAAAATGTATTAATATCGATAATACCAGTTTTATCACGAATATTAGTGATTTAAATTACACGCCACAGTAAATGTCATATCAGTCGACGATAAGAAATTGCATGTATCCTCTTGTTATATTTTTTTCATATAATCAACTATTCACATTTGCTACTTATAGATTAGATTTATACAAACAGATTCGTGTTAAATATGTATCGTGAACGCTTTCTAGCTTTTTTAACATTTATAATTTTCCTATAATTGCTTTTCTATAGTTATTCATAATTACAAAGAAATAAGTTTTATTTGTTTTATGTAGTAAGTAGATAATTTAATTATATAGTATGATTGTATGTACCTTGTCTATTTAGATATGGCTCTACAATCCATGTATATTTATATAGCTCTCTTTTAAATCATGTTTTTTTGATATTGTTTTTGATCTTTGTAACATTTCGGAATAACAATTTTATTGCTGAATGTAATTTTTTATAATATTATTTTTTACTTTATGCTTATAACTCTTAAGTATGAATATGATTTTAGATAACTAAAATTTTAGCAGACATCAAAACTATCAATGGCAGAAGAAGAAAGGATATCATCTCTTTTAGGTAGAAAACATGTTTTATTCTTTTTTGTCATTACAGGATTGTGTTAAATTTAATTCTTCAATAAATGATTATTATATGTGATACTAGAAAAAAATGGCACAGATGCTTCTCAATCAAAAGATACTTATATTCCGGAAGAACCAACTCCAGATATCTCTATTTCCTTGTTGGATATACAAATGCCAGAAACCCCAGATAGTACCAAAGGTCAAACGAGCGATGGTGATACATCTAGATTGGAGAGTCCAAAGACAGTGAAACCAGTACTTGGAAAAGTCCAAGCAAAGAAACGATTAATGGCATTTGCTAATCAATTTAAAACATTGCCTAAATCCCAGGTTAAGCCAAACATGTCTCAACATTCTACCGGAGCTTTAAAGACAAAAGATAAAACTGTTCAGGATGATCTAAATAAATCAAGAAAAAAGACAGGTGATATATTTTATCATAAAATTATCTTTAAATAATTGTATTCGCTGCATATAACGTATGTACTTGTAAACTGCAATTATTGTATATTTGACAAATTTGGAATTGATTTTACTTTTAAGTTAGTTTCGTAGTAAGTAAAAAATTTGCATATTTAAATAGGAGAAAAGTTATATTTTAGTGTTATGAACGAAATTACAAAAGTTGAACATACTCAATCTTTTAATTATGATTTTTTTTTAATTGCAAATTGTGTTTGCAGTGAATTAACATTTGTTACGAATATTTTACATTAATTTTTCAATAAAATGAATAGAATGTGGAAATATAAATATTTAGTTTTATTTAGAATAGTTTAATTAAGTTGTTGATATTTATTAATTTCTATTATGCATAGAATATAATATTGAATGTTGCTTTGATTTTTTAAAGAAATAATCAAGTATAATTCTAATTTCTTAATACTTAAGTGTGTAAATATTATTCTTTTTAATTAAATAAAAATAACAGTTTCTATAATACAATCAGTGTATATAATTTGTATGTGCATATTATTGATTTGTATTCATTATTATTTAGATTATTATATTGATCAATCACATGAATTTTAATTATTTTTTTTTTGCAGAATAAGGTACCATTGAATTTCTTTAATATTTTGTTTTTTCAATATCCATATATAAATTAATTAATTTTATTCAGTATTGCGTGCATTACAGTTTTATCCTTATATATATTACAAAATTAATGCAAACAAGAATTAGTAAATAAACTGTTACAACTTTATTTTATAATATAGGCTACTTCTAAACAGAAAAAGAAATCTTCATGTATGTATTACATAATTTTTAATCCAGTTAATACCATATTATTGTTCACTTTGCACTTGTAACTTTTTTACTTAATATTATATCAATTTCAAAGCTGCAATTTCCAAAAATGTTAAAGACGCAATAGTTGATTCTTATAGATTTGTATGTCTAATTTTTAAAATTTGTACTAGAAATAAGTATTTAAATTCTTTTTGTTGTCAATTGTTATCCAAATCAGATCAATAATTTGAAGATGGTAAGATTTATAAATCTATTTCTAACTGAATTACAATTTATAATTTTATAGAGGAAAAAATTCTGGCTATTGAAGAAATTCGAAGAGAGGAATCTAAAAGTAAAATGTTACTCGCAGAAGCTATGGCTGCAGGTATTATTTTCATACATGATTATAAATCATACATTTGATGATAAAATCTTTTTTGTAGCAAGTATGGAAGACGACAATCATACTGGCAAAAATATATCTAGTTTACTCGAAAGTAAAAAACATGCAAAAGAAAGAAGAAAACATGAAGAAATGAATAATGATCGTAAAAGTAGATCAGTGGATCGAAAATATTTAGAAAGGTAATATTTTTTTATATTAATATATTTTTTATATATATTCTTTCCTAATTTTTATGTATATGCAAAATATATTTGCTCCATTATTTTTTATACTCTGGTAAATATTAAATAGAAATTATTTTTATAAGGTCTCGACATCATGACAAAATTAATAAAGATAGTTCAAATCAGGATATGAAAAATCGAAATGAAAGTATAGAACGTTTTACACAAAAATCATCTCAGAACAGAGGAAAGCATAAGAAAGATAAGAAAAAGAAAAACGACAAAGATAAACGAAGTAATAGCAAAACAGATACAAATCGTGACAAGAAAGAAGGAAAGGATAAAAAAGAAACTGTAAAAGAAAAAGAAGAAGAGATAAAAGAAAAAACTGAAGCAATAAAGAATAAGAAAGAAAGTATAAAAGAAAGACAAAATGATATGTCAGAAATGGAAGTAGAAAGCAAAGATAAAAAAGAAAAAGATAAATGGAAAGAAAAAGTATTATTGAAAAGTAACTCATGGGCAGAACTACGAAAATCTGGTTTAACTCTCAATGATATCATTTATCTTAGAAGACGTAATAATTCAGAACGATCTATGAAAATCAGGTATATGTTTGTAACAATTTTTCAAGTAAAGTTTGGGATACAATTAAAAAACGGCATATATATATATATACATATGAATTGCATGCGGTTGTCGGGGCACATAAATAAATTTGATACAAGAGAAATTTAGTGCATACATATAATGTTAAATTTACTTTTTAAGTAAAGTTTGAGATTTTATAATATATATCTAATCAATTATATTAAATTAAATTAAATTACATTAAATTAATTGTTAAAGACTTTTTATTAATACAAAAATAATAAATATAAATATGAAGGCTATAGGAATCAACATTGGTTATAAACGTGCGTGATAATTTTAATAATAAATTAATACAAAAATTGAAACATTTCAAACGTAACGCCGCTAATTCGAAATATTGCAAATCAATATCTCCAAATTTTTTGTCAAAAATTTTCTTTCTCGTCACACATTTTGTTGAAAAAGTTGAAACGTTCCAATTTTTGTATTAATTTATTAAAATTCATGTTTACAACCAGCATTGACTCCTATAACTTTTACATTTATATTAATTATTTTTATATTTATATGAGAGTCGTTCGAAAAGTTCTGAGTTTCAACATGAAAATGACATTATTCATCAAAACCTATTTTAGTACTATAATCGTACATTTTGCAAGATACCTGTGAAAATTGTAGCCATTTTTGACGCTCAGTTGTTTTTGAGAGTCATTTGTGCCAATCGATGATCAGTGTTTTCGTTTGATGAAAATCTTTGTCCTTCGAGCCTAACTTTGAGTCTAGGAAACAGGAAAAAATCGTTGGGAATCAGATCTGGTGAATACAGTGGGTAGTTAATTAATTCGAACCGCAATTATAAATATTTGTTATGGCGATCGTCGATATTCGATTTTTTCCATTTTTACAAAAACACTGACATCGATTGACACAAATGATTGTCAAACAATTGATTTCCTCCGTTCCGATATTCACTGCCAGTATTGAAACTATGATACAGTATACGTTGTGCACTATAGATTTTCAACACTGGCAGTGAATTTCGGAATGTACTCTGAGCGTCCACAATGGCTGCATTCAGTAGAACACAACAGTTTTGCAACAGTTTTATGATTCTCTGCTGAGATAGGACCATTCCTCTTGATCTAAAAGCATAACCTAATCAGCGTAAAGAAAACTTCCAACAGTTGCAAAACGTTCTGCTGAACACAGCCATTGGCTACAATTTTCACAGAGCATGTACGATTGTAATATCAGAATGGAGTAATGCCATCTCCATGTTGAGTTCAAAATTTTTCAAATAATCCTCGTATATCTATATTTACATATTAAGCGTGTTTATATATGTGTTTTAGAACAACGCAAGATTATGCACGTTATTTTGAACAAATGTTAATGTTAAATAATCATCGTCTAAAACGTCAATCATTGATAGCTGAGGGACTTAATGGACCCAAAAAGTATCCACCTGAATCGATTAAGCTGACGAAACGAGCAAGGGGACTTCAATTATTGTATTGTGAAAATCCGCGCATTTCTCTTTTCTTAAATATTTCGCAACTTCTACAGATCGTCACTCCTGAACATCGTGAAAAAATACAAGACATTTGTGAAGCGTCTATACCACGGTATATCGTAATATCCTTTGTGTCCAAATCTTTACCTATCTAAATCTTTGTAATTGCAGGATCGATACAGAAGACACAGTGCAGCAGAAGCGTAATTGGTATCATCAAATAAATACAATTGACTACCATAAAGATGCCAACTGGCAGATGACTATACAGTTTCCTAAGTCAAAATGGGATAGTGAAGATGAGGAAATATTGTCTATCAATGTAGCAAAAGAAGAAATCGAAGAACCAGTAAACAAACTGCATGTTTCCGTAAACCAACGTAAGTGATTTTTTTAACAATAACGAATGTATATAACCTGGATGTTAAAATCATTGAGATAATAATAACTCATCTTCTGTTTTAAAAGAAGAGAGATGTTCCACAACGTCTAGCATAATGGATGAAGACAAAATTGATAATAGTGTTGAAGGCATTAAAGAAGATAATAAATCTAGTGAAAAGATCATCGAAAACATATCGATTAATGAATCTTCTTCGTCTTCTTTGCTACAGCCTGCTGGAAATGAAAAGCTAGCTTCAGAATATGAACAATTTATGAAGATGGTATGCACTGCAACTGATGTGACTAAAAAATATTCTCCCAAAAAAAACCCTGTTAAATCTACTTCTCCGCATAGTTATCATGAATTCAATATAGAATCTAATTTAGCTGAAGATAACAATATGGAAATACCATTGAAGGAGAAATTTGAAAAAAAGAGTAATCTGGAAACTCTAGAAGAATCGACGAAGAGTACAGAATGTGAGGAGTCTACTATGTCAACAGACTATCAAATACAAATTAATGAAAATAATATACAAATTGAACATACAAACGAAAATGACGAATCTCAGGATTCCAAGTCAATTCCAAGTGATTGGGAGAATGTTAGGATAAAAGTTGAACGATTGAGTGATGAGAATACTGAATCTAGAGAAGTAAAAAAGAAGAAAAAAAAGAAAATGACATCCAGTAGTGATTCATCTAGTAGTATCACCTCTTCAGATTCAGAAAAGCAAAAGAAAAAAAGGAAACGCAAACGGAAAGTATTAAGTAATTCATCTTCTTCCGATTCTGATAGTACGGATAGTACTAGCAGTAGCGACTCTAGTAGTTCAGAAGAAAGAAGAAAAAGAAAGCGAAAGAAGAAAAAAATTGGAAAAAAAAGAAAAAAGGTGAAACGCATTGCGCGAATAAAAAAGAAGCGAAGGAGAAAGATGAGCACGGATTCCAATAGTAGTGATTTAGATGAATATACAAAAAAGAAAAAAAGGAAGAAGAAAACGATGGAAACCAAACCTATTAATAATGGAGACATAAGAGAGATAATATCGAAGTCTCCTGTAATAGCTTCACCAGATGGAACAAAGATATTGCACTCAGTGACTCCAATAAGGAAGATTAAAGAAGAAGCTGAAGATGAAGACAAAAAGAGGATTGATCAAGTTATGTCAACGAAAAAAAATATTGTTGATATAAGTGTACATGACAATGAATGTTTGAATCAGAGAAAGGAAAGAAAAGAGAGTAAGTCTGATGAAAGTTTTATGGAACAATGGGAAATGGATTCTCTAACAAAACAACAAAATGATGGTGAAACCTCAAGTCAAGACCGCAGTGAAGAATTGGAAAAAATGGATGGCTTAGAGAAAAATAAATATCGAAGAAAAAGGAAGCATAGTCGAGATAATATTGAACAAAACAAAGATAGATCATCTAAAGACAATGAAGAAAGGATTCATGAAGGAAAAACAAGATTAGATGAGGAAATTGAAGCAAAGAGAAAGAAAAGAAAAGAAAAAGATATTAAAAGTAGCGGTGAGTTTCTTGCAAACTGGGAACGGGAAAGTGAGCGTATTACTCAACGGATACAAAATGAAACTAAGTATTTGAAAAAATTAGGAAAGCAGAAAAAGGAGAAATGGGGAGAAACAGATTTTGATACATTAAATGTGCCATCTTTGACACAACTTGAAAAAGAGGTATATCAAAAACAACTTCTGGCAGATGAATGGGAAGTGGATAGTTTAGAAGCAATATCAGATCTAATTATGAGTAAACGAAAAAATAGCCAGGGTTCATTAAAAAAAACAGAGAAAGAAGTTAAGTATGATAAAAAAACAGATACTTACATTGCAGTAGAAAAGGAAAGTGTAAGAGAAATGAAAAAGAAGCAAGAACGTCTATATGCAATAAGAATATGGGAGGAGGAGCAAGAAGAAGGTGAAAGAGAAGAAATGATGCTTCTGGAACAAAAAAGTAAAACGAATGATTGGGATATAGAAGAAAAACCTCTATTTCATGAGACTACCGAAAAAGTAGAAGTTTGTAAAGTTAACGATATTGTCGCGATACAGAAAGAGTGGGTTAAAACAGATGAAAATAAAGATATCAAAGAAGACGCGAATAAGTTAACTGTGAAGACAGATAAACGAGTTAAAAAAAGCCGTTGGGACATAGGCTCTCAGTCTGAAAAATTGGAAGCTAAAGATATATGGGAGGAAGAATATGTCGAATGGTCCAAGATTGACAAGTGCGAAGGACAAGAATTTGAAAGAATAAAAAAAGGAGAACTTTGTCCTGTGGATTATTCGGAAAGCTCTAGTAAATCGGATCTGATAGATTTCTATCATAGAAAATCACAAAGTAGAGAATCGTTGGAAAGATCATGGGCGTCAGATGAAGTGGTGGTCAGATCTATACAAGCAAAGAATGATACATCAATAAAACAATCAATTCTTGCGAAAACAAATGAAGAACAGCTTATATCCATCAAGGAGCACCAAACTAGAGATCAATTTAAGGAAATTTCGGAAACTGATGTAAAATTTAAAGAGAATACCTATTCAGTAAAACTATATAGTCCCAGTTCCCCAGCATTTTCTCAAAAGTCTCAGGTAGGTATTTTTATCTATTTATAAAAAAGTGATCGTTAGGAATGTGTACATATAGATTCCTTATTTAAATATTAAAAAGGGATCTATAAATATAGATCCCTTATTTAATATTTATTTAAATAAACAAATATATGTCCAGTATAGATATAGATTCCTTATTTAAATAACTATTTCTTTTGTTCGTAGGATGTAGAATTGTCTAATGAGAGCAGTTCTTGTAATTCTCTGCTTCGTGAAAAAAGAAAGAAGGAGATGTTAATTACAGCAGACGAATTATCAATTCCCATGGCTGGAATACCTTTACAATTAATAAAACGTGATACTAAACATACATCAAGTGAAAAGGCAGAAAGTATTTTGAGCAAAATACAATTGGAGGATAGAGATTCTGCTCATAACTTTGATATTAAAGCTGATAATTTATTTGACGACATTTCAATAAATGAACCGTGCTCAAAAATACATACCTCTAGACATATAGATATTTTTGCAGAGTATGGAACAGAGAAGTCATGTGATAAACAGCATGCCGCAAATTCCAGTGTGAACTCAGCAACGAAAGATGATGAAATGAATGAAGGAAAGAACGCACTTAAACTCATCCCTAAACAGCTCTTGATGCGTCGGACTAACGAACAGGTAAAATCGAAACGTATTTTAGAAACACCATTACAGGATCCTGCTCAACATGCAGCAGCTCTATTGACAATACAAAAAAAATTGTTAGAGTCACATGCATTGAAGAATGATATCAAAGAATATCCGAACCAAGAACAGATAGATCATTTTGAACAGAAATATAGTAATAGAGATATAGTAGCGAGTAATAGCAGAATTGATAACGCATTATTAGATGCAACTGAATTTTCTGTGGTTTCCAAAGCATCAGTAATAGCGATACGACGATCGAGATCTCCGACATCGGAAAAAGCGGTCTCTGTTCGATCTGAACAATCTGAGAACTACGACAGAGAAAGCAAAAACGATGATGGAAAAAGATATAAGACTAATCGTAATCTAAATGAAACTAATGTTTCATCGAGTATACGGGAACACAGAAAGAGAAGTCCTAGCAAGAAAGAAAGTGAAAAACGATATTTGCATGATAAGGACAAGAAGGAAAAGAAATCTGAAAGGACATCTGACGATGTAGACAAGTCTGACAGAAGGGATACTAGAGGTTCCAAAACAGATTTTGCAGATAGAAGAAGGTTTAGCCCTTCGGGACGAGGAAGGAGAAAAAAGAGTCGAAGTCCCTATGTTTCATGGGAACGTCAAGGAAGCGGAAGTAGAAGTCCTGGTCATAGTTGGAGCAGAAGCCGTAGTAAAAGTCCAAAGAGAAAAGACGACGCTACTATCAGTATGCGAGACAAAGATAAAAAAAGAGAAAGATACGACGATGAGCGATTATGTAAATCGAGAACAGATGAAAGAAAAGAAAGATATACGCGATCGCCATTACGCTTCGGTTACAACGAGGGTAAAAAAATATTATTATTCTCTAAATAAATAGTTTTACTCTATATCGTTAGACATTTAAATATTAATCTATCTACAGATAGCTTTAAAAAGCATGGTATTGTATCTTCTAAGAGCAATCGTAACGACTGGGGTAGGAGAAGACATGACAATACAGATAGAGATCATGAGAAAGATACTAGATTGTATGACCCACTAGAGATTTTGAGGGAAAGAACAATGGAGTCTGAAAAATATAGAGATAATAGGTATAACATGTCCATTTGACTTTTATATTTATGTGTCTGAATTTTTCATGTACCTGCATTTGCTAATAATTTGTTATGATGGCGACAAAAGGACATATAGAGTTTTGAACTATATTCTTTACTATTATTTTACATGCAATGAAATTGATATATGAATATACATATAATAAACTTATGTTTATTATATAAATATATAATTAACTTATAATAATATTATTTAGGTTTCACATAGAAGAATTAGATCATTGGCAATATGAAAGCAACAATATTTTACGAGATGGTAACGAATCCATGGATTCATACACTGTTGGACAGGATTTGCCTCTTGAATATGATGATCGATCGTATTATAGAGAGGGAAGTCTGGAAAGAGATATGATACAATCTTCGCCTCAATTGCTGCCAAAATACAGGAGGAGGTATTCATAGATTTCTGTACATATTAAATAGATTCAATGAAATAAAACATTCTTTTTGGTTTTCTACATAAACATTATGTATTTATATATAATTCTATTTATGTGTATATATAATTCTATTTATACAAAGAACCAAAGCACTTAACGTTTTATTTCAAACAGATCTAATGTAAAAAGGGAACGGCAATGGGAGAAGGACATAGATCCTTCAGATTTAGATCGTCATCCAGAACACAGAATACGAAATCGAACACAACAACGATCAAGGTATTCGCCTCTACGTCAAGAACGATTTCGACGAAAATCTAGATCTCGCTCTTGGTCACCACTAAGATCTCGATCCCGATCTCGATCTAGATCGCGATCGGGATCACGTTCTAGATCAACATCAAGATCAAGATTGAGGATGAGATCGCAATCGAGATCGAGGAGTAGATCTCCGTTCGATGTGAGATCGAGAGTGTCTGTTTCTACGTCAAGATTAAGAAGCCCGGAACATTTATTCAGAATGTCTGAATTACGGTCTTCCAGGTAACATTTGATTCAATTTACATGATGTATCTCTCATTTATGATTAAATTTGTCAATTTTAATGTAGATCTCCTTCACCTGGAAGTGATAGGCTAAACGAAATAGGAAGGGAAAGGAAGGATGATGACGAAAACAAAAAGTTCAACGCTTCTGGCGAAAGGGGTAGGCGTATAGAGACTATTATACAGTCGGGGATTATGCCAGGAACGAGCATTTTAGATTCAGAAATGGGTATTAATAGTAATATGGATGCAACTGTTACAAACTTCCAATATTCAAATGAGATTGAAAGTGGAAATGAATATTATTATACTGAGAATAATTTGACTTATCCACCTTGTATAGATGAGTCATCTACAAGCTCCCCGAAACGTTTATCTCTTGATGATAGGTAAGAATGCCAGGTTCAATAATCAACCATAATAAACATGACACATATAAGAGGAAGCAAAAGTATCGGAACGCCTGAATACTTCGGAAAATACAAGTTTTACAAAAAAATTTTTCTCGGAAATGCTTATTTTTTTAAGATATTTAAGGGATTTTGTACGGGACTTTTTGTATACCCTCTGTGTGTGTGTGTGTGTGCGTGCGTCGTGCGTGCGTGCGTGCGTGTGTATACGTATATATATATGTAATATAATGACCACGTCTAATATATTACTTACAGATTGGAATTAGAATTAGGTATTAAAAAGCAACACAATAAGGATTCTACTGGTATAGTTTCAGAATATTCTTCTAATTTTAATCCCAATGTTATTGCGTATCCATCTCCTCCTTCTTCACAACAACAACAACAATCACAACAGCAAATGATGTACAGACAACAGCCTACAGTTGTACAAGTATTTAATATATTACTATATACTTTTCAATAATTATTGAAACAAACAAATTTATATTAAATATCATTTCCTATGTTTTTAAGGTTGGAAATGTCCTACAAGTAGTCCCTGCTGATTTCAATGGGATGCAATCAGCACGTCGCGAAGTATCTGCTACAATTACGACTCCACCCGTGCGATCTGGATCCAGTCAAGTGGTTCGCGTAGGTAACGTTCTCCAAGTAGTACCCACGTCATTAGATTGGAGCAGCAGTAATAGCGGCGGCGGCGGCGGCGGCGGCGGCAGCGGCCAGTCTTCGACAGGTCAATCAAATGTAGTTTTGTATTCTTCAGCTGTCCCGGCACCTTCACCCTCGGCACCTATGTCAATACCTGTCCCCGTCCCCGTTCCATTGCCTGTACCACCAACCTTACCCGTCACGACAAATACTCTCGCCCCTGTCGCAACTATGTCATCTGTTACGCCACTGCCGCTATCATTGCCAGTACCTGTACCTGTTCCGGTTCCGATTCCCCCCGCAACAGCAGCAGCGTTTCCAAGAAACGAGATTCAGACACAAAGTACGTATATAAGTCTATTTAAGATATGATTCTTACCATCCGAAAAATCTTATTCAATGACGAATCTTTACGTTGTAGAAATAGTTCAACCCGTATATAATTATGAAGCTATACTCGAAACGCGCCGTAAAGAACAGGAAGCGTAAACGAATACGCGAGTTACGTAGAAAAGAAAAAGAACGTAGGAGGATAGAACGGATTAATCGACGAGCTCTGCGCTTATTAGAAAAGAACAATACATCGCGACAAATGAGTGGAGTCTTGTTAGATCATCGTAAGAGTTCAAGTGTAGATCCAGCAGTTCTGAAAGCATTAAAAGAAGGAGATGAACAAGTTGAATCTCCATCAGCTAATCCTATAAAAGAAGAAGAGGAAACAGCAATGTCTATTAAAGAAGAAGACGAAGATGTCGCTGTGGACGAAGAAGAAGATGATGATGAAGATGAGGTTGAGGCTGAGGCGGAAGATGATGAAGAAGAGGAAGAAGAAGTAGAAGAGGAGGACGAGGATGATGGCGACGATGAGAAATCATTACAAATGATTAATCAGCGAATTGATGAAGCGACAACGTCTGCTGTTAAAGATCAGGCAGAAATTGATACCAAAAAGGAATGGCCGGTGTTGCCACCTCCACCATTAAAAGGCATTTTGGTTGTACCAGGATTTAGGTTTGTCGATATTTTAATCTTTAAATTTCTTTTAATAATATTACAGATTTTTAAAAATAAAGTTAAGTTTTCCCTAAGTAGTCGGTATGACCATATTGGATCATGACATCACAAATGAAAAATAACACGTTGAAGTTTTTGCATGCCATTTGTAATAAAGAGAATTTGGATAAAACAAAATCATAAGATCGATTTAAAACACTTGTAAAAATGGATCGAATTCTCTTATCACTTCTCTTATCACTTTTGACAGTAAACAATCGTAAAAAGCACGTGAAATGAAAATTGGTTTAAAAGCCTATTATGTATATTTTCACTTCACATGCCTTTCATGATTATTTACTAATTGTCGATGAGGAGGGAGATATGGATAGGAGAGGCTTCAGCCCATTTTTACAAGTATTTTAAAGTAATATTATTATTTTGATCTATTCAGAGTGTTCTTATTTACAAATGGCATGCAAGAATCTTAAATTGTCATTTCTCGCTCATGACGTTACGATCCAATATGACCGCGGTGATTAGACTAGAAAAGTTTTAATATTAAAAACTTCTACTGAACAAATTATATTTTATGCAATTTTGGTAAAAAAATTATTGTAAGTCATCTCTTAAGGCTGCGTTTGGTTTGGACGTTTTTAAGACTTTCAGTGCTTCCGTCCTTGTTTTATATCTAATAAACAATAAATAAAGACAGCATATTGATTATAAACGCTTACAGCGCGTGAGCATTCAAACTGAACGCAAAATCATGAGTGTTCTTACAAATTTTACAAGAATAAGTTACAAGCTGTATTAATTTTGCTTGAAATTGATCCATTAAATTTAATATATTATATTCAACTTGTATGTACTGTGCATGGAATATATAAGTGGATTTTTTTAGTCCCAATGGCAACTTGGATGATTTATCAGACATGGACAACAATATCAAAGACGATAGCGACAAAGACGGAGAAATAGATAAAAATAGTGAATACGATAAAGAAGCAGGATCTGATGTCAAATCTGGTAAATCAAATCTAAAATTAAGAAAAATAAAGAAAAGCAAAAAGTCAGTTCAGTTTGCTGATGGTGTGAAACCTGGGGAGGGAACTAGTCCCAGCGGCGGCGAAGGCGACATGCCTTCACCGCCTCCTCCTAAGGGAATAGATTTCCGCGAAGGACTCGGAGATTTGAAAAGGGATAAAATTTATAACTCTCGAAAGAGCAGAAAGCAGGAGAAAAGGGCGAGACCACCAAAGGCAAAGAAAAAAGTCAAGGTATGTGATTGTTATATACATTCCTCTTTCTTTTTTGTTTAGAAAAAAGAGACTCGGATTCAAGAAATATTTTTTAATTATATTATATAAAATATGTTTTTTTTCTCTCATTGTATTTTATAGGTAAAGATAATCAAGTTGAAAAAACCACGCATTACGCCATTGACAGCCATGATGATGGATGACTCTGACGAAATCGACGATCGTTCACCACCCCCGCCGCCCCCTGGTTCTCCTCCGCCACCTCATCTCTGGCCCAGTTATCTTTCAATCTACAATACAACGGTTCGAGCAATTGAACAACCACAGTCTACGACTGCAACTTTGACGTCTGTTCAAGCTCCACCACCACCACCAACTCCATTGCCTCTTCTGATCCCGCCACCTCCGCTTAATTATACCATCCAACCTTGCAGTAAATCTTAAGCTAACACCATTCACGGCGTCGATTTTGTAATCTTTTCTGGTACAAGTCTTTTTTTCTTTTTATGAAAAGTGAATTTCTCTCTTCCCCTGCCTTTCCTAGAAATTCTGTGCGCGGGAAATCGATCGCGGGTATTAGACTGTAAAAGTGAGAACTGTACATTAGTAGTCTCTTTGAGACTTCAGTGACGATAAAGTAATGATGTTGAAGAATATATACCAATAATCGATGTTGTAAATATCCTTGCAATATAATCATTTTCTGATCAAGAGATCGTGATCTTTATCTAATAAATGTTGATCCATTGCGTCCGGAACTTTTAATAACTTCATATTAATAATCTATTTCGTATATTTTCGATATTGAGAATCGAATATACAGAATGTCTCCGAACTGATGGTACAATAAAAAAAGATAATTTTTAATAGAAAGAAAGAAAATTTGAAAATTAAATTTTTGCACCTTTTTAAACTTATTTTCAATGTCAGTGTGTGCATCATATATCGTCAAATTTCTTTCGTGAATGTTTATTAAAATATACGCAACAAAAATATGTTTTACGTATAAAACGTATTTCAACTAATAATATTTTATTTATTAATATCGTATTATATTAAAAAAAAATGGAAATTTTACTGTATATATTTATTAGGGTAGCTCTTATTTTATACTTGGTGAAACGTTTTTTCATGTATTTATTTGCCGATCCCCCCCAGAGCAGTTCCAAATATTACAAAAATAATATCCGATGCCAAATTTTATGCTATAGGGTATCTGCAGTATGCGTTCTTTTTAACCGATTGTAATAAAATTTTACAGAGATTATTTTTGTAATATCTTGAACTGTTCTGGAGGAATCGGCAAACAAATATATGAAAAAATTTCATCCTAATATTTATAAATAATTTTTCAATCATATCATTTCAAATTGCTTTATTGTAAAAAATAAATAACAATAAATAAAGAGCAAAGTAAGAATCAAACACATTTTAAATTTTAACATAATTAAATAGAATAAATTACAAATAAAGAAAAATAAAAATAAAGAAAACAGTCTAAATTCAAATATAAAACATTACAAGTTTCAACTACCGGATTGAGCCCTTTTCAGACATTTATTTATCACAAAAATTTATCGTACAAAATTCGTTATTAAAAATGCCCGCATATCCTTTATAATAACAACTCGAGTGAATCTTCATATAGAACTCGACATTTATTCGCATACGATTGGACAGTCAAATGTGTTTCATATCTCTTGGAAAAAAATATCTCTAATCAATAAAAAAGATAAAAACAAAAATCTTCTTACGAAATATTAAATAGATCAAAGTAACACACATACACATACACATATATACCGGAATTCTGACAAATAAAAATTCACCAAAAGTCATGTCTGAAGAGGGCTCAATCCGGTAGCCGAAACTTGTAATGATTTACATTTGAATTTAGGCTGTTTTCTTTATTTTTATTTTTCTTTATTTGTAATTTATTCTATTTAATTAAAATTTAAAATGCTTTATTGTACATAAATAGAATATTATTTTTTTTTTATTATAAAAATGTTCTCAAACGAATTGGATGACATATGATGAATCAAAGACAAGATTGATAAAAAACATGTTTTAAACAGTATAAAAGGTGCTTAACTGATGTTTTTAAACATTTTTTTTTTATAATATTGTTTAAAGCAAATATTTGGAGCATTAAAAATATATTTAAGAAAAAACATAATGTTTTTTTCTTAAAAAAAAGGCATTAGTTTTTGTCAACCCTGATTAAAGATCATTTAAACACAAGAAAGTACAAAGATATTAATTTTCCAACTTTCAAAGACTTTTCTCGAAAGCTTAGATAAAGTCCAAAAACATTTAATTTTATAATTTTTTTATTCCTATAAAAGGAATTTTTCAATTGTATTATTAGTTCTAAGACACTGCATTAAAAAATGGCAATGGCAATGGATATAATGTAATTATTGTCGATGATGTATTGTTAATACAATTTGTTATTACAAGTAAGAACATATTCGAAAAAATGCAATGTATATACATTGTATTATATATTAACTTGTCACAAATATATGTGATTTAAATGCAGGCAATATATTTAAAATTAGATCCCGTTCTTTTCTTAGATTAAAAACATTTAGTATCTTAGTGATAAAGTACTTTATATTTAATAATAATTACATTATTTAGTATCATATGATAAGGTATACAAAAATCTGATTTTAAAAACAGTAATCTATATTATCTATAAATGTTTTAATCTTAGGATGAATAAAAATAGAATGTATGAGATATAAGTATTAAAAAATGAACGATTTAAAAGACCTCGCACGACTTATCTGAAAAAATTATTTTCAGTCAATTTAAATTTGTAATATATTCTTGTAATTCTTACATCTCTGATAAAAAATCTCAATGGGCAAAACAATTCTATGACTAGTTTCTGTGTTAAGCCTTCGCGTAGAATTTACTTTTAGATGAAAGTTCTTTTGCGAGAAACACGAAACAATTTTTGTCGCTTCTCCGAAAAGAAAAAATTAATATTAAAGTGGAAAGAAACTTACGGAAAATCAATTTTTATTATGGTAAAAGAAATATTATTATCAGGATTTATTTTCAGAAATATAAAATTATTTTTGTACATTGTTAGAATAAGAATAATACTTTGTTTTAATCTTATGTCACCGAATTAAGAGAATTTTAAGAAAAAAAATTTTTTTTTTTATTGAATAGAGTAAGACTCACTTTCTTTTAGTCTCGTATTATGGACAAAAATAGATTCGAAGCTCTCGAATTTGATTAGTACACACGTTAATTTTTCTATCAAAACGCGTTACGTATAAGTATTACGTAAATAGTGATAAACATTTTATCGCTCTCCAACATCACTGTGTAACTGCATCTGTACAAGACTAGCTCGTAATTCTCAAAATATTGTTGCCTTTTAATATTGTTAAGCGAGGTTACAATTCTTTTAACATTTACGTTTTATTTATAATTTATAATTATTTTTATTACACTACAGTTAAAAACGAAATGAGAGTAGCTATTATTGGTGGTGGAATTGTCGGATTAACGACAGCTGGATTTATACAAACAGGATATTTTCGTAATGCTGACATAACGGTTTTGGCTTCGAATTTTGATGATACTGTCAGTCATGTAGCTGCGGGAATTTTTAGAGTCGGTGCTTCATTCTGCGGCCCTAATGAGACAATAACAAGGTATAAAACAAGAAATTTTTGTTAAATTTTTAAAGAGTACGTCTCTGAATACGCCATTTCAAACAGCTTTCCGCAAAAAAAATCTTTATTGGCATTTTTATTTATTTTTTCTGAACTACTAAAATAATCCGCAATTCAAAATGAAAAAAAAAAAACTTTATCACCATAATCCATTTTCTTTAAATTAAACAATGCTATGTTAATTACAACTAAATATAATGCTTATTTATTTTCAAATTAAGAAAAAATATTTAGATGACATAAATCGTATTTTTTACTGAAATTCTTTTCAATTTTATATGTGGCTTTAACAGTGTGTATACATTTATAATCAATTTACTTTTTTAAGACAATGGATAAAAGATTCTTACGAATTTTACGATGCTGTTCGAAAAATGGATGATGCCTCTCATGCTGGAGTGACTGATATTTCTGGATATATATTCGCGAATTCATCTCAAGACATCGTTAGAGTAAGATTGAGTATAAAAAAATAATTTTTATCTAAAATGAGATAATTATATAAGTGATGAGAATAAATTTAAATTTAGTGCATATCGTGTGTCAGAGTTTATATGTTAATTAATAAATTATTTAATTAGAATCATTGGCTTGAAGGCGTGGTACCAGTATATAGAAGGGCGAACGAGGAAGAATTTGAACTGGTAAATGGTAGTTGGAAGTACGGATCATACTTCTCGACACTCCTTACACAAAGCAATTTATATCTTCCGTGGGCTAAACGTCGGTAAGTAATGTATGATTCAACGAAAGACAGAGAAATTGTAATTTGAACTATTCGCATTGCTAGATTGCAGTTAAATGGAATTACTTTTAAGCAAAGAGAATTGGATTCTTTTAAAGAATTGACTAACGACTACGATATCGTAATAAATTGTACTGGACTTGGAGCACGCAAATTATGCTATGACAGACGTCTTGTTTCTCTTCGTGGCCAAGTACTCAAAGTATGACATTATCTTGCACTCAGATATTCATCTTTCTTTATTCATACAATTTTCTACAATTTTCCTCTTGACGCTTTAATAAATGATAATGTCAGGGTTGGAAGTTATTTAAAAAAATAATTAATTATCATTATGTGTTACTCATTAAAAAAAAACCCATTATTCGTGATGTAATAAATAAAAAACGTGTTACTTTTTTATAGATAACGTGTAATGATAATAAATTTCAAGTGATTTTTTTCAACCTTGGCATTATTGTTATCGTCATGAAAAATTATGAAATTATTACCAAAAATCATTATTATACAAAGTAACGGTAACAACATTATAAGCACTACTTCCATTCTTGCTAATCGTTTATATACATAAAAAATAGTATATCTGCGCAGGTAAAAGCGCCATGGATGAAAATGTTCTTTTACGGCGAGTTTGATACTTATATCATACCAGGCTTCAATGGTATAGTTACTTTAGGTGGATCGAGAAACTTTGATTCTGAAAATATAAAATTGTGTCCACACGAATCCGCAGCAATTCGTGAAAGATGCGAGACGCTAATCCCGTCCTTGCAAAATGCAGAAATTCTGCGACAGGAAGTCGGTCTGCGACCGCATCGGGATGGTGGTGTTAGAGTTGGGGATGGGAGTCGTATTAGTGATCATTCTAAAGCTATAGTTAGTATTTAGACAGTAAAACAATTTATATTAATTTATAGATTGTACTATAGATGAAAGAGAGATTATCCTTTTTATAGATTATACATAATTATGGACATGGTGGTTACGGAGTTTGCATGGCACCTGGAACTTCTATAACGGCCGTGAACGCAGCCGTCGAACTTCATAAATCTACCAGCTCTAAAATATAATATCATTTACATAACATTTTTTCTCATTATATACATTACGCACAACAATTAGGGAATCATTTTAAAACATACAAATTTTATTGATCTTAAGAGGCTGTATCTCATATGTAATTATCCAAATCTTGCAAAATATAAGGTTCGCTTTGAAACCTGATAACTCAGCTTCTACGAATGCTACAGTAATATTCGTGATGT